CCGAGGCCTCCACAGCCATGTAGCTTACTGCGGACACCTAAACTCCGGAACCATCACTATGGGTCAACCTTCGCCGGATTCTGCCTTCTTCGAGTACGAGCCTAGCCTCACTAGTCTACCCAACTCGAGCCTGGGTCTGGCAGTATCGTTAGCTTCCGATGTCTTTGACTGCTACAAGTCCGTACTGCCCAAATACTCTGTCTCCAACTCCAAATGCTCGTCAGCTTCAACTTCGTGGTGCAATCATCAGGAGACCTCAATGGACAGTAATTCCAACGGTCGACTGGAACGTTACCTATGCTCACGGAACCCCTGCCCCTGCTCGCAGAAAAGCAGCTATGATAGCACCCCTACGTCTGCGCCCACACAGACTTCTTGGCTCAATCATGTGAGTCACGGTAAAAGTTAAAAAGTTCAAAATTGATCGACAGGTGAGCTGACAGTTAGCATTTATCAGCGCATACTGCACTGCTAGCGTAAGAATACTCAACTCATTCAGATTCGGGGGGTCTATGCGTATATTTATTGACAATTTGTTGGTTACTATAATTCAAGTCCATAAACAGCTTTTAGGGAGGTATGCATACGACCTCACAGTGTGCTTAAGACTGTAGAATCTGTACCCAACCCGAGGTTCCTACTTAGGTAATTCCGCTTACGGGATTGTCGCACCAGCAGTTATAGTTTTACTGAAGAATCTGATTTTGCGACATTAAATTTCATGGCGCCCTGCAAAGCAGAAAGCTGTTGAAATACTTGCTGTAAGTAAGCAATCTTAATTCATTATCACACGTGTATCAACATGTATGTTGTAGACTGACAAAAATAATGCGCCTTCGGAAGCGGCTTTCTCTTCCTGTTCTAGCCAGCAGGACTTGCCAGCGGTCATTGTGCCCAACATTGTAGAGCAGTAAATTATGTCTAATTTTCACTTGGAGCGTCGCAAGATAGCTTCTTTGTACAAGGTACCTCTGAACTGTGCATGCAATCTAGTTAAAACGCGCCGAATTACTGGTCCCTTCAAGAAAATAGGCTTGTTTCGCGTAAAGCTTAAAAAAGTTATAAAATTCTAGTCAAATATGGAAAGTGGGAGTCACATTTGCAGTTCAAGTGAAGCAATAATAATTATATGTCTTTGTTGTTACTCGCCGTGGTACTCCACGTTGGCGCTCCTCGAGAATCAGCCTA